ATATTACAAATTAAATTGTAATAGTTAAAAAACTTGAAATAATTTTTAAAAAAGAATGTGAAAATTGAGATTATTACAAGTTACCTAAAAAATTCTACGATTTCTACGACAAATTCGGTAAATTGTAATTTTTGCGTTGTCATAAAAATTTGGTTCCTCCGTGTAGAAAATAAAGTCAAATCATTGCCTATTTAGTTCCTTATAAAAATGAAACTATCCAAAAATGTCGGATAATCTGGAATAATTTCATATTCGTAACAGATTATTCATACATCCGCATCCATGTCCAGACCCGAAATTTTATATCCACAGAACCCCTAGATTATTAAAATTTTATTTCGTGTGTAGGTACAGTTTAGTGCAAAAATTTTGTCCCAAACGGAGACTGTCTCACCGAGACAAGAAAGCATTTACACTTGGCTACACTTACTGTAATGTAAAGTCATAACATATACCTATACAAATAGTGTCATTGTAAAGTGGATAACTCTCATGGCTGGTAACGTTCTAATTAAATAAAATGTGAGCTATTTAAAGAGCAATAAATTAGAAAAATTGTTCTCGAATGGCTTCCATCCATTTCCCAATGAAAACGCCGGTCGATCCGTCCTTTATTACATTATCACGTCTACGCAATTTGCGCTTGGAATGAGTGGTGAAAAATGCACTCAGGCTCCTATGTCCACTACGATATTACTACGATAGTATAACGACCACATACACTATAGGTGTGTACATATAAGCCACACACACACACATTTATATTAAACATGACAACATCGTTGTTTCATTGGTTACTTTGATTAGGTGCGTACTGTAGTACAATACTGCACACATATGAACACATTTGTGATGTGTGTGTGTACATTTGTACATAGGTTTTTGTGTAAGTGTGCAGTCAGTGGTGGATCGCAGGCTGCACCACTGATGTTAAAGCCATTTTGTATTCTAGGGGTTGAGACACACGTCTGAAACATCAATGTCTGGAGAATTGTTCGTAGAATTCTCAACTGACAGGATTTTTAGAATTATTTATTAATTTATGATCAAATTTTGGATGTAATTTTGGAAATTTTAAAACACTAGTACCAAAATTGTAGGAGAGAAGGCTTGATAACTGTAGTCCTTCAGGAAATTACTTCAAATATCGAACCTTTCTTAGATAACTTGAGTAAGTGTAGGTAAAGATATGCACATATTGGTGTATATTATACTAAGTTCTTGCCCCCTATCACTGTGAGCTAGAAATTGTGAAAAATTTGTTTAATAACTTTCTTTGTGTTAAAAATTGTTCGAAAAATTAAATTTAAAGGAATTGTTTGTAAATAGGTATGCAACACATCGTACACTTCAGCATAAGAAATTGCTAATACTAACTACGTAATGCTATTTTGCCCTATGCTGAGAGCACTCATAATTTCTTTTATATATAATATTTACCTCGCATCAGTTAAAACACGAATCTGTTTAGTTTACAACGTGTTATCATCGACGCTTTTTTGTATTCTTATTAATCCAACAAGGACAAACGGGAGGACCTTTTGAAGGATCTGCGACCATAAAAGAAATAATTGATTCGAGCATTTTTACAGGAGTTTCAATAGCTCTAAATAAGTAGCTAAACAATTGTTTTTGTCAATTAATTCTTCAGTAATCGAGACGAACCGCTACTGGTCGGAAAATATCGTAGTAAGTGGTACACACGGGTTCGTAGATCTAGATGGAGCATGTACGTATCTAGAAAGAATAGTTGGCGAGCAGCGGCCACGAATGGCTTTATTATTGAGGAATAAGGCCTAGTAAATTGCATTTTTCCGATTCAGAAGTAAGAGAATAGCGTTATTTACGACAAATATAAAAACATATATGGCATAAAGCGTAGCATAAAATATAAAGTAAGTATAGATAATAAAGGCAAGCGAGTAACAACAGTAAATCATATTTTCAATAAAAGAGATTTTTCTGCGTGCAACGAGTTATTGCGAGAAAGCAATAAACTTTTATATCGGCAAAGACTGTAAATTTCAAATACAATAAAATATAATTTTAATTCCTCAAGTAGGCTGGGTTTATGTCTCGGTCCCATTCGCCATTCCGTTTATTAGCGTGTGTGTGTGTGTGTGTGTGTGTGTGCCGGGCTGCTCCGGGAAAATTTTATTGTTGACATGTTTAATCGCTTCTAAAGTTAAACTTGTATTTGTTTAAATCACTCATTTTCTTATTAATTAAATTTTATTACGGCCAGATCTTAATCGCCTTTTGCCAACTCCGGTCCACTTTATGCCCAAGAAATATCGGACTGTTGCAGTTTTAATTATTTAGCCGTTGTCGGGACGTTCGACGACTGCTGCGATCGCCTTTTATACATATTAACGTTTCTACGTATGTCGCTTTTAACGTTTTACTGTTTAATGCAAAATCGTAACGATAATTAAATAATTACCTAATCACTGAACCTCTTGTCAATTCAAAATAATTAGAATAATTACCTACTGCTGAAACAGTTCGCAACATATATACGCGGTGTCGATTGTATGCGAAAATGGTTACTAATTGTTGAGTAATTGACGACTGAAAATCAACGAATCGGAGATCGTGCCTATTCTTTGCTGCAAGTCTACATAGCCATGACTTACGCTTCAATTGTCACTTCTCTTTTCAGCAAATAGTGAGTGCAATCATTGGTTAATTTATATTCGAATTTTAACAATTGATTACTACATAATCATGCATCGGATTAAAAAACTAAAAAGAAGATAGTTTCTCGATCTGTTTTCTAATTATTATAGAGTAATTAACGACTGAAGACGAACAACTCGAAGATCGCACC